GCAGCAGTATCCAAGCTGGTGCACCGGGACGGAATGCAGCTGTGCAGCTTGCGACGGTGCTGAAGCAAATGCTTGAGCCAAAATGGCTTCTTGTGGGTTTAGGGTTTAGGGTTGAGGTGAGTGTTCGGGTGTTGAACATAAGTCCCGCTCAATGCTCCGGGTTTGGATCCTCGAGATCCTCTGCTTCCTACCGGTTCCGTCTTAACAGACCTCGATAGCAGACCTGGTGGAATCCAGCGGCGGCCCAACTCGTCAAGGGAGATAGCCGACTCATGATTTAAAGCGTCGGGTCTCGAATCTACAGTCTGCAATCGTGCAGCAAGACAAGGATTTGTTTTGAAATAGTAGGGCAGCGGATACACGTTGGGGCAGTTTCGAGGCGTATGTTCGGCAAGCCGGTAATCCACAGCAGTTCTGAGTTCTGGCGGGTCTTGTCGCTTCATGAAGACACGGATGGGGCCCAGAAGTGCAGCAGTCTCGTAGAAGGGTACAGCCTTATGGCCTTTGCATCTGAGACTCCCTGTTCACCCACCAACCATACATCTCCTTTATCTTGAGCAGCCGGTCGTTAGCGAACCTCTGCTTCAAGGTGCGGCAATGTCGTGCACAAAGACATGTTGGGCTTCTTGCTAACATTGGTCGTCCTTGCATACACTTCATTCGGAGGGGCTCACCATTGAAGCCACACAGCTTGAGGATGGATCCCACATCCTCCAGCTTGCGACCACTGTTCAGGTGAACGGTGTTGCCACTGACCCTCTTTGTGTCGTCCACGATGTGCTCGCAGTAGCCGCAAGCCGTGGCCAGGAAATACACATCCCCGATACCAAACCGGGCTTTCTGCTTGATCGTTACGTTTGTCCTCGCCTCATTGCTGATGACGCTATAGTAAGACCACTGGTCCACGCCGATCAGGTCCTGCGGGGCACAAAACTGCAAGGTGGTAGCTATGTAGCGTCCGTGGCTGGAGCCCTCCATCCGCCTGAATCCAGTCAACAATCCCAGGTTACGCCGCCTTGAATGCTACCAAATTTCA